ACCATGAATGGAAGTTAATACCACATCGTTTCGGGACATAAATGCTATAGCAACAAGTCACTGATAAACATAGAGATCCTATCGAAACAAAATCCTGATTAATCGGTCTATCAGTGTTGAAAGTTCTTGAAAGAGGTGATGCGTTTCAGTCGTGCAGTCATCGATGCTGAAGTCACTAGACCTGCTTCCCGAGTCTGCTTATTAGCCGTGAGCAGTATGATCGGTGACACAATCTCCCATCAGTCACCTCCGATTTCCACCCTGTAATTGTATTTTCCTGTCGGTGATCAAATTAACGGACTTGAAAGTGACACGACCTGGTGAGCCAGTGGCGACATTTTTATTGACAGTCCTAGTGGTGATAACAATCCTGGTATTTCCTGTACAGTGTGGTGCAGTCAGTTGATTGCTTGATTGCTACAAATTTGGGAATGTCTGTTTAACCCATATAGTTTATTGTGAGAGGAGCCTTTGTAGTTTACTTCGCCTGTTATTTCAGGTTTGGCGCATTAAATGTGTGCGATTTGGGTTGGGTTTTTTTGTTTAACGCCGCACTCAGCAATATTCAAGCTATATGACAGCGGTCTGTATATAATCGAGTCTGGACAAGACAGTCTAGTGATTGACATCATGAGCATTGATCCACGCAATTGGGATACAATGACATGCATCAACCAAGTCAGCAAGCCTGACCACCCGATCCCGTTAGTCGCCTTTTACGACAAGCATAGTCGCCTTTTACGGCAAGCATGGGTTGCTGAAGACCTATTCTACCCCGGATCTTCCAGGACGCATGATTTGTGAAACCATTAGCACAAGTTTAGTATATTTTCTGACTGTTCACTTCATCAATAATTAAACTGAACATGAAGGATCAATAGTTTGTTTAAGATGATGCAAGATAACCGTGTCAGGAAATACAGTAAAACTGATTTTAAGGAACCAGTTGAAAAGTTTGATGTCGGATACAAATCTTAATTCCTTAAGTTTAGATGTGGTGGGGTTAATGGCCCTGCAAGTATTCCATAGACAAAATCAACTTACCTGATGTGTATGTTTTATATAGGAACTAAACTAAGCAAATACTCTGATCCTGTTTCACCGATCCTATGTTTTATTCATATGCTGTTAGCACTGTCATTAAATACATCCAGTCTTTCCATGAGGTAAGGGTTTATTGTCATCAGCACTGGTCCTTCTAGTTGAGTGAGGAATACAGAATGGGGGATTTGATCTATTAAAAAAATACAAATGATTTTCAACACCTTGTAAATAAACTTGAGTTATTATATAAAGTTTTCTGAAAAAGTAGGGCAAAACATGAGAATGTGTGACAATAGAGGCAACAAAACTAAGATGTTCAAGTTTTCAGATTTAAGTTGTTTTTGTTTTTTGTTTTTTGTTTTTTGTCGGGGGGAGGGGATAGAGGGGTATGTCTCTCAAAACTTAAGGAATTAAGTTTTTTATACAACATCAAACTATTGAACTGGTCCCTAACCTGACTGTAATAATTCTAATACTAATCCTTTGTATGAAAAACATGCCCTAGATATTCTTTAAGTCGTGTTTGCTCAAGAAATTATGAGAAGGTACAATGGGTAGCTCAGAGTTATCATATTTGTGTCATCATTTACATTGGGTACTGATAGCTTTCTCTGGGTATTCAGTATATGTTTATAGTCTTGGGTCCAGTCTGTTGGGTTTTGTAATCCATTAAGTAGACCTTTTTTACAATAATTTTACTTCCATGCAGTTTTAGGTAAATTCTAATTAGCATATATTCATGTGCCGCCCCAAGTGAGTCACATGTCACATAACATGGTCATACAAGTCTGGGTTACAAAAATAATACATAATAAAAAAAAGACCATTTATATTGCGCATATTTCCACTCCACACAGGGGCATGCTCAAAGCGCTATCATTATCCCAGTCACTGGATCAGTTTGCACTCAACAGTCATACTCAGCTCCCTGGGGAGTATACAACCCAAGCTACCTTATAAGCAAGCTATTGGATTATTCACTGCATACAGTCCATGTATACATGCTGCTATACCATGAAGAGGATGAATACTCCTAAAACTGCTTCAAATCTCTAGAGGCTGTCGGGTAGCCTAGTGGTAAGAGCGTTCGCTCGTCACGCCGAAGACCCGGGTTCGTTTCCCGACATGGGTACAATGTGTGAAGCCCATTTCTGGTGTTCCCCATGATATTGCTGGAATAATGCTAAAAGAGACGTAGACGTAGACGTAGACCAGATACCATAGATGCAGCACTGATGGTCACTAGGTGGGGCTGAAATAGAGTGCTGGCCTCACTCCACCACACCGTGGGGTCACAGGGGCCCCCACAGGCCCCACAGGCCCCACAGGGTGCAAATGAGTCCTGTAACAATTTCTGTATGCTATTGTGAAATAACAAGATGTGTAGGAATGGTTGGTTGGTTGGTTTGTTGTTTAACGCCTCACTCAGCAATATTCCAGCTATATGATGGTGGTCTGTAAATAATCGAGTCTGGACCACACAATCCAGTGATTAATATCATGAGCATCGATCCACGCAATTGGGATCAATGACATGCATCAACCAAGTCAGCGAGCCCACCTGCTCCTGTTAGTCGCTTTTTACGACAAGCATAGTCACCTTTTACGGCAAGCATGGGTTATTCTATGTGTATGAATGCATGGCCATGTGCGTTGGTAAAGCACTCTTCTTTTGCTCTCAGTACAGTCATTTTACTTGAACTGGGTAATTTAAACCAACTTGTATCTTAAAACTCCCTACTGTCATGAAGAAATAGTATCATACAGACATTTCCAAGTGATGGGAGGTTTGCCATTAATAATTCAACATTGACATTTATTTCAGGTGGGAGGGGAGCGTAGATTTCCAGGTTTGATATCTGTTGCTAAATATACATGCAGTTTCCTCTCCACCAAATGAGTTGTGGATTTAAATTGACTTTGCTTTCCTGATTCTGAAACAGAAGCAGCCACTTGACTCTTCAAGGCAACTGAATTCTAAAACGGGAATGCTGGTGGATTTTTGTTGAACAGTAAAACCTTGCTGAAGAAAGTAGTTTAAATCTAAAATACAAATGCTTTTAATGGTAAAATGAAAGTTTTTTGTTGTTTTTTTCTCTATGTTTTTTTTTTGTTATCGTTGTATTATCAAGACTATACTATTTCAGAAAGTTGCACCTTTTATCATGTTCAAGTTCTCATGAGTATATAATCTTTGAGTGCAAGCTAACAAAAAATGCTACATACCAACAAAATGCTGCATTTGACTGTATGTGTTATTGAAAAAGCACCAAAGTGCATAGTTGCATCCCTTGGCTGTAGCAGGATCTGCTTATCATGGGTTTGAACCCAGATTCATTTGTCATTTGAACCAATTTCTGTTCGCACCATACTAGTTAATGATGAATTTTCACATAGAGAAATAGATTTTGTTGAGGGGCACAAATTATCCCAAGTTTTGCATCTTGTATATAAAAAAATCGTGTTGTGTGATTGATTGATTGAATGATTGATCCAATCCTGCTTTCAGTACCTGTTCTCTTCTCAGTACCACAGAATGACTCAAACACAGCAGCTCAAGGATATGCCTTTCATATTGTTCCGGTTTAAAGATTGCTGACTCTGTAACCAGACAGGGACTTGTTTTACACTAAAATACAGTTATGTAGATATTTAAGCCGTAGCTGCATTTTAAGCTAAATTGGCCCTCTAACCTGTTTCATCTTGTTTCAGTGTGATGGATTTATCTTGTTGCGCATCAGGATTATTGTGGAAGTTGATTAACTCTAAAATGACCAACTCTAATATGACCCGATCTAACCTGTCTCATCTTGTTTCAGTGTGTTGGAATGATCTTGTTGGGTTTCGGGATTATCGTGGAAGTTGATAAACTCTAATATGACCCGATCTAACCTGTCTCATCTTGTTTCAGTGTATTGGAATTATCTTGTTGGGTTTTGGGATTATCGTGGAAGTTGATCGACTCTAATATGACCCGATCTAACCTGTCTCATCTTGTTTCAGTGTGTTGGAATTATCTTGTTGGGTTTTGGGATTATCGTGGAAGTTGATCGACTCTCATATGACCCGATCTAACCTGTCTCATCTTGTTTCAGTGTATTGGAATTATCTCATTGGGTATCGGGGTTATTGTGGAAGTTGATCGACTCGAATATGACCAACTTTAATATGACCCGATCTATACTGTGTTTTATTTGTTTCAGTGTGTTGGAATTATCTTGTTGGGTTTCGGGATTATCGTGGAAGTTGATCGACTCTAATATGACCCGATCTAACCTGTCTCATCTTGTTTCAGTGTGTTGGAATGATCTTGTTGGGTTTCGGGATTATCGTGGAAGTTGATAAACTCTAATATGACCCGATCTAACCTGTCTCATCTTGTTTCAGTGTATTGGAATTATCTTGTTGGGTTTTGGGATTATCGTGGAAGTTGATCGACTCTAATATGACCCGATCTAACCTGTCTCATCTTGTTTCAGTGTGTTGGAATTATCTTGTTGGGTTTTGGGATTATCGTGGAAGTTGATCGACTCTAATATGACCCGATCTAACCTGTCTCATCTTGTTTCAGTGTATTGGAATTATCTCATTGGGTATCGGGGTTATCATGGAAGTTGATCGACTCTAATATGACCCGATCTAACCTGTCTCATCTTGTTTCAGTGTGTTGGAATTATCTCATTGGGTATCGGGGTTATCATGGAAGTTGATCGACTCTAATATGACCCGATCTAACCTGTCTCATCTTGTTTCAGTGTATTGGAATTATCTCATTGGGTATCGGGGTTATTGTGGAAGTTGATCGACTCGAATATGACCAACTCTAATATAACCCGATCTATACTGTGTTTTATTTGTTTCAGTGTGTTGGAATTATCTTGTTGGGTATCGGGATTATCGTGGAAGTTGATCGACTCTAATATGACCCGATCTAACCTGTGTTTTATTTGTTTCAGTGTGTTGGAATTATCTTGTTGGGTATCGGGATTATCGTGGAAGTTCATCGACAGGACATCCAGTCAGTAAACAACCGACTTGCACTTCCTGTTGCTCTCCTGATCGTGGTGGGGCTTCTCATTGCCATCAATGCTTTCTGTGGTCTTGTTGGAACCGTCACCGAGAACCCAACTTTACTCAAAGTGGTAAGTGATGTCTTTGATGCAGAGTCTGGCACAACGTGAATATGTCTGAGTAGTAATGGTGCAGACTGTCATTATTAACACTGCAGAGACAAGACAGTCCAGATTAGGAACGATCAAAGACCGCTGAGTGGCTCTTTGTAGCTTTATTACCCAAGTAGAAGTGGAATAAACAGTATAAAGCACACAGGTCTGACATCAGGTGAAGTTAAGCAACGTTGGTCACGGAGGTTAGTTGGATAGGTGACCACATTCGGAAGCTTGACTCCGAGTTTTTAGGGGTTCAGTCCTGCCCGACACTGAACCACATGTTCATGTCTCCTTAGGCAAATGACTTGTTCGAAATATGACTCTACTCACCCAGCAGTGAATGGGTACCCGGTAGGAAGAGATGTAATTTGACTGTTCACCTTTCCTTCTTGGAAAGTGAGCTATATAAATTCATTACATCTCATCGCATCACATTGCACCACATTGCACCAAACTGCACTGCACCACATCACATAATTGCTTAAACCATACTTACATAGATTTAGAAATTACTCTTTTTGATTGGTTAAATATCAATTTCTGTTTGGTTGTTCGTACATTATATGATTTTATGCCATTATGACATCACAAAGGGACATTACATTACCTGAAATGTCAAAGACAAACACTACCGGTAATTTCAGAACTTTACATCTATGGGAAAGGGTTTTTTTCAATTTGATTTCATATTAGGTAAACAATACAACTATGTTGTCCATGTTGACACTCGGAAATCATCTCTCCGTCATTTCCCTGTAAAGGTCCAGGTTAGAATTGGTCTTCCGCAACCCTTGCTTGTTGTAAGAGGTGAAGAATGGGATGGGGTTGTCAGTCTTGGTGACTTGGTTGATGCACGTCATCGTATCCAAATTGCATAGATTGAGGCTCATGATGTCAACTGCCTGATTGTCTGGCCCAGACTCATTTATTTACAGGCCACTGTCATATAAGTGGAATATTGCTGAGTATGGCGTTAAACAACCAAACTAAAATGAATTAATGCCGTAATTTGAAAATGTGGGAGTTATTGTTGTAAATAATTTTTATAGAAAAAAAAAAAATAATGATCACTGGATGATGACCTTAATAAAATTTATGTGGATTCCACCAAAATGGTTTTGCTTGAAGAATTCAAGGACAAAAATCCTAGCCAACTTCATGATATTAAGTCCTTGCTAAGTAATTTGCTCACAAGTGTGATATAATGAGACCTAATATTCTGACTCAAACCTCAACTACTCAGTTGAACCCCACGACAAGGAAGAGTTCCCAATGGCCATAATTATAGTGACAATGAAAGTACTCGGAAACACGTTGGAGTCATTAAGTGGCTCGACTTGGATCAGTGATGTCACAGGAGAGTATCATTGTAGTCTGACCCATCGAATCATAATGGCAGGTCAACAAAGTTTGCTGTCTTATGACATTTGATTGCTTGACATTTGTCGTAGATAAGACAATATGCCTGTAACACATCATACCATTATCAGAGACGTGGATCACCTGGTTGTGATTGTCTTAAGTGTCTGCATAAAGTTGTTACTCTACTGTGCTGTCATTAGAATGAGATTAGATGACACCCAAAGGCGTCTCTAGATCTAGATGTAATTTGCTATGTGTGTGAAATGTAGCCATTGTGTTGCATTCAGTAATATTCAAGCTAAATGATGGCGGCCTGTAAATAATCGAGTCTGGACATGACAATCATGTGATTGATATTTTGAGCAAGATCCATGCCATTAATCAAGTCACAGAACCTAACCACCCAATCCATTAAGATCACCTCTTTCAACCATGGCCCACTTGCACAAAGTGATCTTAGCACTACGACTATTGTAAGCCTATGTTAAAGTATGGGAGTTAAGATCACCTCTTTCAAACAGGGCCCACTTGCACAAAGCGATCTTAGCGCTACGACTATTGTAAGCCGATGTTAAAGTATGGGAGTTAAGATCACCTCTTTCAACCAGGGCCCACTTGCACAAAGCGATCTTAGCGCTACGACTATTGTAAGCCTATGTAAAAGTATGGGAGTTAACATCTTAGCGGTAAGATCGCTTTGTGCAAGTGGGCCCAGCACAGGTTGCTGCTGCCCAAAGTCAACCCACAATTGGCCTCTTACAACTGGCAATGGGATGCTGGGGCACATTCTACCCCGGGTCGAACCGCCTCCCTGGTCTAGTGGTAGAGCATCCGCCCGGAGAACGGAAGGTCCAGGGTTTGATCCCCGGCCGCGTCATACCAGAAGACGTTAAAAGATTGTACTTGTTGTTACCCTGTCTGGCGCTCGGCATTAAGGGGCTAAAACAAGGACTGGCCGGCTCGGAGTCAGTATACTGTGTCTGAGTGGGGTATTCATGTTAAACTGCGGCATGGTATCTCAGTGGGCTAGCACTATAAATCGGCGTCAGTCTGGGCTAGTACAAGCAGCCACACAAACACACACACGTACATGCACGTCGCTATATAAGTGCAATAATCTTGGACGCGACGTTAAAACCAATTTAACCTCACCTCACCTCTACCCCGGGTCTGTGTACAATTATATAGTACTCAACTTTTGATAGGGATAACAGATAATGTCATTCTATTTATACATACACTTAACATATTAAGAGAGCAAGTTTTGTGTGGCATGGAAGGATAAAAATATGCCTATCATAATGGAGTACTGGTAGTATATATTGCTAGATTGATCAACATTATTAACTGTGGGTTTGCAGACAAATCTCTGATTGTATGATTTTATGTAAATTTTCTAGGACTACATGTTGGGTGGAGCCTAATCCCCCTTTAAGATGAAAGTGTCTGCCTAAAGGCTTTGTCTAGAATATCACAGGAATTCACCTTGGGACATCATGTTGGCTGTGTCATGATAGCGATACTCTGTACAAGATGCTTGTAGCACCAACTCATGTGAATGTTAATTTGCAGGGGGTATACACTAACACTGAGATATCACTAAAGAGTACACTTATGTGTTAGACCAGGGCCCACTTGCACAAAGTGATACAACACTACGACTATTGTTAACCTATGTTATAGTATGTGAGTTACGATCATCTTACCACAAAGATCACTTTGTGCATGTGGGCCCAGGCACACCATCACTAGCCCTAGAGTCAGTTCTCCTTTTTCTTGGGAGAAATGAATATGAAACTGAAGGCCTGACATTTGTGATGGATCACTGAAATTATTTTCATTGAAATCATAATTGAATTTTCCACATCAAAATGTGTACTTGATGGAAAGGTCTTTCATATTGCAAGTTGGGTAAACAGCGCAAAGTACTTGAAGACCTCCACCTAAAGTGTCCCACTAACTGCATCCGAGTCCCAGTAAAACATTTTAGCCATTCCATGCATATCATCTTATCAACAGATGGGATTCAATAACCGAAGAGAGGACAAGTCGAGCTGAGATGGAGCAGCGAAAATTTGCCACTTAGATTTACCATAATAACAAGCCTAGGGCCACGGGAGCTGGAATCATTTCATCCCGTTAACTACCAGCCTTAAGGCATGCTGGGAGTGTTTTTGACAACTGCCATTTCCTCCGTCCTTTAGCCATGGCCAGCACTGGTCATCCACGGCCCAAATCGGGCTGCAGTAGTCGATACTAATTTCAAGAACATGATGAACACCGTGTTATGAGGTTTAGTTATCAAGTGCCTATAAACTGGTATTGGTTGACCTACAAGAGTTAAAATGCTAAAATTGGGTTTGACCATCGATTCCAGCTTCATCATTCGCCATCCTTTAGATGGATATAAGCTTCAGATGGATTACAATATAGCATGGTTATACAGGGGACTCTATTTGATGGCAACACAGCCTTCCCCCGACGATGGTTAAGGTTTGTCAACTGGCCTGAAATAAATGTTCCATTAAGTGGCTTCTTGAAGAACCTATAATGAAGGGGACAGCTCAGCTCATTAACTGACAGGCACAGATGATGCCATGGTTACCGGAATTGAAGCCATGATGACGAGCCTTTGGCAGGAAGGAGTGGACTTTAAGCTGTCTAAATATCTTGAAGTGTCTCTTTAGTGGTATTATTTGTGCACTGAAAACCTGCTGCTCTCTTTTCCAAAGTTTCTGACCCAGTCATAAGGGTAATTGATAAGGTATCCATATTTAAGTCAAAGTTTTCTGTTTACTCATCAGTGAATGGGTACCAGGTAGGATGAGATAGTAATGTGAATCCTAAACCTAGCACCCAGCAGGAGGGGTCTGTGATATGAAACAGCAAACTTGTATTGTGATAGCGAAGGACATGTACAGTATGAACGGCGCCTCTATATTATATCTGTTTGACAGTCCAATACTGACCAGGACTGTGTCCAATAACAGCCAGAGTGGATTCTGGGTTAATATAGGTCTCCAGTACACCTGTGTGTCATAAGAGGTGTCTGATGTATTGTGTGGTCAGTCTTTGTGCAATCTCATCAAAATCAGATCTCCGTAATGGGATGTCTACAGATCTTTGTTTAGCGTAGCAAGAACGAAGATCTGATTCTAATGAGATTTGTTTTTCTGATGGTGATTGCATGTCATTGTGCCCCGAAGGTATGGGACGTTGCTCATTAAAAAAGTACTGGTTTGTCTGGTCCAGACTCTCTTTACCGGCATCATATAGCTGCAATATCAATGAGGTCAGCATTAATGATAAACAAGCATATATTATGCATTAATTTCTTATAATTCCCTACTTGACGTGCTGACTGTCAAACAGTGTTCCACACATGTTGTGCCTCTTATAAGTGTTCAGTGATGTAGTGATAACACTCCGATTGTGATGGCGACAATACCCCCTGCAGCTGTGACATCAAGTATGTGTTATGCATGCTGTCATCATGTTCCACTGGTTGAAGACGACAATTGAACAAGATTGATGAGAGTAATCCCCCTTTAATGACTCTTTATCCTATAAATTAGAATGTTATACTATTCTGCTGCCTAGACAATCCCTAA